TAGCTACTGCTATTGACTATCGATTGGTTAAACAACTTGATTAAAAGGGCTAATACTGATTAGTAACAAATGAGACTTTTAATGAGAGTGTTTTATTGTATTTAGCATACAAAATAATAATCAAATGAGAACTTCGTGATTACCAAATCTGGTAATTGAGTTAAAAGGGCGCCCTTACAACCATCAAATGAGGTATTTTAAAATACTCTCTCAAAAATCTAGTTTGGGTCCTATTTTTATGTTTTGAATAGATTGTTGGATTTTTTATGTGTTGAATGAGTAAACGGGTTAGCCTAGTTGATATTATTGCTAAGTTCACCTAACAATTTAACCTGAATCATGCTTGCTAGAAAAACAGGGAATAATTTAAGCTAATTTATTGTATGTTGACTATAAATGGAAGCGGTCTCTTGTGGTATGTAACAAAAATTAAAAATGAATGGTAAAGAGAAACATACATATCACAAAGATCAGGATTTCATAATACCCCCTTTTACATACAAACTTAAGCAACTCAGCCATGGATTATAAACTTAGAAGTATCATATGTTAAGTAGATCTTCTACATGGATGTATAAATAACTAGGATGCTTGTACGGTTAATGGGGTGTAGAGAATACCAACCTGTGTTGTGATTGAGTGGATTTTGATGGTGATGGCTCGTTGCTGTTTCTGACTCCCTGCCCTTTTTGGATCCTTAGTGCTTCTGTCTTTTTGGTGCTTAGTGCTCTTTAATGCTCTTTGTCTCCCTTTTTGTCTGTTTTTTGTTGTTGGTCCTCCCCCCCTGTTTGGGGGTAAAACAGCTCCTTATATATGGCTGCCTTTTACTGTTCATACCTGTGTGTTGGCTGCTCCTCCTTTGCTCTTGAAGTGGTAGCCTTAGCCACTTATGTTGTTGGCAATTTGGGATTGGTTCTTGGAGGAGGTGGCCGAAATCTTCTTTTTTAGATTTGGCAGAGACTCTGCTGTTCTGCTGCTCTGCTACTCTGCTGCTCTTTTAGATAAGAATGATGGGTTTGGTTGACGGGGTTGACCAGAGTTGGCCCGGGCTGACCATACTTGATTGGGTTGACCCAGGTTGACCAGGTTGACCAGGGTTGACCAGAGTCAATTGGGCCTGAATATGGGCCTGGGTTGTGGGTTTTTATTTTAGGTTGCTCTTCTAACATTTTCTTTTTTTTGTTTGCAGGTCCCTAGTCCGTTTCCGGCCCAAAATGATGATCAATGGGGGTCCAAACAGCCTTAATTGGCTAAGCCCCCAATTCTGATTGGTGCCCAAAAGCAGAATTTTTATTTTTTTTTATTTTTTTTAATTGTATAATTACAAGGTGTATCTTAAATGTCACGGATTGTAATATGTAATTACACATTTGTTTATTTATGTCCTTGCCTTTAGAATTAGATGATCATTGTATGTATTACTCAATCATTCAATTGATTATTTCAAACCAATTCGTTAACTACAATCGTGACCAATATCCCAACTTCTAAGTAAATTATTCTTAGTTATGAATCGTGACCAATACCCCATTCAACCAATTTCTAGACCTATATCACCAATCGTTAACAATAATACCGGTATAAGTCGTGACGGCATACTATTGCTATTCTAAATAAAGCGAATTTGGTAGCCATTAGCCACTGCTAATCCTACCTAGTACAAATATTCGAAATGAATAGAAAGAAAGACTTGGAAAACGTTGGTATTTATTGATTCGCCACCGCTAATCTCAACCAACCTTATCTAAACTTTCACTTGGGTTTTCTTTTCTAATTTTACATGGAATATTCTTCCGAATTTTGAGTAGGATAGTTGCTCCGGACAAAATGTGGTGTCTACAGCTAGAGTGGAAAGAAAACACCAACACATATTGAATGTAGCTAGAGCACTTAAGTTTCAATCTGGACTACCTTTGAAATTCTGGTCAGATTTCATTCTTCATGCTGTCTATCTTATTAACAGACTTCCAACAGTGGCCTTGTCCAATAAAACTCCTTATGAAATTCTCTATGGCCAACCCCCTGATTTGTCTTCTTTAAGAGTGTTTGGATGTTTGTGCTATGCTAGCACATCAGCACACAACAGAACCAAGTTTTTGCCTCGTGCCAAACAATGTGTCTTTATAGGATTTCCTGCTGGTGTGAAGGGGTACAAGTTGTTTGATTTACAGGAACAGAAAGTCTTTCTTTCTAGAGATGTTATCTTCCATGAGGATATCATCCCTTGCTTTTCTTCTTCTATTCAACCAACAGATAGTGTCCTTGACCCTCCTGTTCCTTCCATTCCTATAATTTCCTCACCAACACCATCTTTTGATCCTGTCCCAAGTGTAGAGGTACCACATGGTGCTTCTAATTCTTCACCTCCCATCCATTCTACACCAGCACCATCTCCTTCTTCACCCACTTCTCCTGAGCATCCACCTATGAATTCAGAATCCCATTCCATCCCAGTGCCTATCTCTCCACAACACCAATCATTTGTTCCCATTGCTGTCAGGAAACCAACTAGAAACATTGTTAAACCTGTTAAGTACAATGATTATGTTTTGCACCTAGGAACCACACAATCTAAAAGAAAATATCCAATGGTTGCTTGTCTGTCTTATGATCAACTGTCTCCAGATTATCACAGATATGTGATGGCAGTAGAATCAACCATGATTCCTAGTTCATTTGAAGAAGCAGTAAGACATGAACATTGGAGAAAGGCAATGGATGCAGAAATAGCTGCTCAACAGGCCAACAGAACATGGGACATTGTCCCTAGGCCACCAAACAAGAAAATTATAGGCAACAGATGGGTATATGCAGCTAAGTTTCATGCTGACAGTACTTTGGAAAGACATAAAGCCAGACTGGTGGCTAAAGGATTTACTCAAATCTATGGAATAGATTTCCTATATACTTATTCCCCAGTTGCTAAATTAAACTCTGTCAAGACTCTATTGGCTGTAGCAGCAGCTAAGAACTGGGAGATGATTCAACTAGATGTCAGTAATGCATTCCTAAATGGAGATTTGGAAGAAGAAGTGTACATGGAATTGCCTCCTGGCATTGATAAACCTGGTTATGTTTGCAAACTAAGGAAATCAATTTATGGTCTTAAACAAGCATCTCGACAGTGGTTTGCCAAGCTTACATCTGTATTGCTGGATTTTGGTTATACTCAGTCTCATAATGACCATTCAATGTTTCTACATCATTCATCATCTGGAATTTCTGTTTTATTGGTGTATGTGGATGATATCATTATTGCTGGAGATGATAAGATGGCAATGCAGGCTTTGAAGCATCATCTCAGTGATCAGTTTAAACTCAGGGATCTAGGCCATTTACATTATTTTCTTGGTTTGGAAATGGCTAGATCCAGGGAGGGAATTCATATATGCCAAAAGAAGTATTGCACAGATTTGCTGAATGACACTGGATTTGCTGATTCCAAATCAGTTGTTACTCCAATTGATATGAAGACAAGACTTGCAGCAAATGATGGTCCTCTCCTTGGAGACCCTGGACTTTACAGAAGAATTGTAGGGAGGTTACACTATTTGACAATCACCAGGCCAGAAATCACATTTGCTGTGCAGCAGCTTTGTCAATATAGTGCAGCACCCACTACTACACATATACAACTTGCATACAGGGTTCTCAAATACCTGAAGAATGCTCCAGGTCAGGGTCTGTTTTACTCTTCCTCATCTGATTTAACTCTAAGGGGTTACAGTGACTCAGACTGGGCTTCATGCCCTGATACAAGGCGATCAACCACAGGTTATTGCATTACTTTTGGAACTTCATTGATCATCTGGAAATCTAAGAAACAGGGAACTGTTTCTAGATCATCATCCGAAGCTGAGTACAGAGCTCTAGCTCAGCTAACATGTGAAGTTGTATGGGTCAAAAGGTTAATACAAGAACTTGGCATTGATCATATACAACCTGTTGACCTATTCTGTGACAGTCGATCTGCAATTTACATTGCAGAAAATCCAATGTTTCATGAGAGAACGAAACACATTGAGATCGACTGTCATGTGGTTCGACAATTCCTCCAATCCAAACTGATTGAACTAAGGCACTTGGATACTGAGAATCAAATAGCTGACTTATTCACCAAGGGTCTTAGTCGATTTCGGCTGTAGTTTTTGTTGTCCAAGCTGAGCATACAGAATCTGTACGCAGCAGCTTGAGGGAGGATATTGAAGATAGCAGGAGAGGAAATCGAACCAGAGGAACAAGCACTGAAGAGCTTCTTACACGACGTCGTCTCCCTCGGAAGCAGTTGAAGAGCTGAGCAGAAACGGCAGCGTATGAGTCAGTGCTTGTGGCTGTTTCAAGTTTTACTGTACAGGGACACTTGTCATTCGTTGATTAGTTGTGTATAGGTTTTCTGTTTGTTACCGTTATATTTTCATCTCTGTAAGTAACTTTCCTCAACCCCTTCGTTGAGAAGGTGTCTGAGAGTACATATATATATGGCCTTTGAGCCAACCTGGATCCCTGCGGGTTTCCATTACAATACCCAGAACCCAAATTCCACAGTCGTTGGTGTACAACGAGCTCGTTCAAACCGACAACTGGGAGAGGTTGTGTGAGTGGCTGTGGGGGTGGGAGGAGTGGAGATAATACCTCGTGAAATCAGATGAAGCTGAGGGAAGGAAGAAACAAAATGGACTTTTTGGTGCTTTCTTCTCCTTTACCCCAACTGGGTTTTGTCAATGGGAAGTTAGTGAAAAAAAAGGGGGAAGAAGAGAGAGAGGCGGCCAATCAGAAGAAATTAGGTTTTTAATTTATTTTATAATGAATGTGTAACGAGATGGAAATTTTGATAGATTAAATTTTATTATATATATTTTTTTTAATAGTCACGTCACTTATTTAAAGGTCAACTATGAAGGTTGAATGCCACATCCACAGAAGTTTACAGAGAGTGACCAAATATGAACTATTGAACTAATCTTAGTGACTACGAATGAAATTAAATATTTGTAGTGACCAAACGTGAACGTTTTTAGTAAACCCAGTGACCAACCTTGCAATTTCTTCTATGAGTAATTTTGATTTGGGGCATTATCTATTCTTTTTTTTTGTCTAAATTGGACCCATAGTGTTTGGAGTCCAAAAGAAAATGAGTATCCAATTATGATATAATTTTTTATTATTTTTTTTTATGAAACAAATAGAAAGGTGGAAACACCTAATAGATTAAAGGTGTATAATTGGATTGAAGCTAGTTAATGGAAGGGATGGACGCGTGGGTGGTTAATCAACAATTTGATATCAATCTATCCGCAAATAATCCGAACCATAGTTGGTGGATAATTGAAGGAGCATACATGCTACCGTACATCAATGTATGTGGTGTAGTATGATCAAGAATGAAAACGAATAACAACCAAGGTAGAACAACTTAAAATAACATAGAATTTCACATATTAAAAATGTGTAACTCACATCTAAGTAAAGTAAAGAAACTAATATTCATCAAGGCCATTCAAGACTTCTTTGTAACTGGCACAATGAGAAGAGAAGTTAACTGCACCATTCTCGCGCTCATCCGAAAGGTACAGAATGCTAATTCAATGAAGAATTTTAGACCGATTTCTTGCTGCAACTTTGTTTACAAATGCATATCTAAGATACTAGCTAACAGACTTAAGCAAGTCTTGCCTGAGGTAATAAGTCCTAACTAGTCTGCTTTCATTAGAGGGCGCTTGATAACTGATAATATAGTGCTTGCGAATGAAATGGTGAAATGGTATAAACGAAAGAACATATCTCCCAGATGTGCTCTCAAGATAGATATAATGAAAGCCTTTGATAGTGTTGATTGGGACTATTTGAGCTGTGTTATGATTGCCATGGGGTTCCCTGAGAAGTTTGTTAATTGGGTGAGAGGTTTCCTTGAATCTACTAGCTTTATAGTGTGTATTAATGGAGGTCTTACGGGACAGTTCCAAGCGAAGAAAAGGGTTGAGGCAGGGGTGCCCTTTATCTCCATATTTGTTTGCTATTAGCATGGAAGTCCTAAGCTGTATGCTAAACAGAGCAGCAGAGAGGAAAATTCTACCTTATCATCCTCAGTGTGGTCGTATTAGGCTTATGCATTTATGCTTTGCTGACTATCTTCAGATATTCACAAATGGATCAGTAGAAGGAGTAATAGTTGTAGCTGAAATCCTTCAAAAGTTCTATCTAGTTTCAGGATTAAAATGCAATCCTAGCAAAAGCGAAATCTTTAGTGTTGGGGTTACAGAGGGTTTGAAGGAAGAGTTAGTGAGGAACTCGGGATTTAGGGAAGGAAACCTGTCTGTGAGATACCTGGGCCTGCCACTAAATGCAGGAAAACTATCGGTAGAGGACTGCAAAGTGTTGATTGAAAAAATTGAAGGGAGGATCCTTGGCTGGCAGCCTAAGCTTTTAACCTACACGGGGAAGTTAGAGCTAGTTGTATCAGTCTTGACTAGTATGACCCAGTACTGGATGAACGTCATACTGCTTCCAAAGAAGGTTATAACATAAATTGAAAAGCGTTGTTCCTAGTTCCTTTGGAGTGACCTTGAGCAGAAGAAGAAGGCTAAGATTCAGCGGAAAACAGTAGCACTGCCTCGTGCAGAAGGGGGTATGGGGTTTAAGGATTTGCATTCCTGGAACAAAGCCTGCTTGGCCAAGCATCTTTGGGGTTACTTTCTGAGAAGGAAACACTCTGGATTGCTTGGGTGAAGGAATATAGACTACGTAATCTGAGCATTTGGGAGGTTATAACAAAAGGGTCGTGGGTATGAAATAAGATCCTAAAGTTGCGAGATAGCTTTGAGGGTAAGTTATGTAAAACAGATAAGCTAGTAGAATGGGAGGGAGATATGATGCCTCAGTTCCAGACCAGCAAAATCTAGCAGAGTATCAGACGCCGAGGTGCTCCTGTGGGGTGGTCCAAGCTGGTTTGGAAGGGAGGAATTCCACGGAATTCAGTTGTCACCTGGCTGATTTTACTAGGGAAGATAACCACTCTAGATAAGATCCTCCGTTGGAACCCAGAAGTTTGTGTCACTTGGCTGCTGTGTCAGCAGTTGCCTGAGTCAGGTGATCATATTTTCTCTCAATGTGAGTATGTGCAGGATGTGTGGAGATCTTCTTTTCCAGCTGCTTGGCGAGTACCGTTACCTGCTACTTTGCAGCAGGCTGTTGTGTTTGCGACTCAGAAGCTTCAGCAGAGTTTAGCTGGAAGAATACTGTGGTGTCTGGTGTTAGCCGAGTTATGGCAAGAGAGATGTCGCCGGTTGTATGGAGGTAAGCAATTGTCAGTTGCAGGTTTGGTTGCTAGGATGCAAGAAATGATAAGGATAAAGGCTGCCGGCGATCCAAAATTTGCAGAGTCTATGGGTGCTCAGTGCTTGCGGTAGAAAGGAGGGGAGTAGAGTATGTATCTTAAGCGTGGCAGATGGCGGTAGTAGTCTTGTATTGGGTTTATATTTTGTACTGAATTTCTGTCTAGTCTGTATAGCGATCCATTGTATTCAGAGATACTGATTGTACAGATTGTATTGATGAAATAAAGCCACCCATTCATAAAAAAACATTCACAATACAAAATTATGGTACAAATAATCTAAAACAAATTTTATTCTTCCCCTCTTTCCTTGCACCCAATGGGATTGGGTAAATGGTTACCCCTGTATTTACCCCTATCATTTATGCAATGCAACCCTTTTTTAAAATGTTTCACCAATTAGGGTAGACATATGTCTTATTATACTTACCCTCAAACTTCACCACCTCCAAATTAGTGAAAACTACATTAAGGATTCACCAAATCATAAAAAAAGGACTATGTTGGAGATAAAGTTGATTAATCAAACATATTGTTACATTAAATGTAATAAAACATTTGTGTTAAGAAAAGCCATGGTTTAAGTCGGTGCCTAATTCACAAATCACAACATCAAATCTGTATATTTTGTTTTTTTCGTCTTGGCTTTTTTTCTCTCCGTTTTGTCGTTTAATAATTTGGTTCCATCATTCATGGTGGGCATGGTCTTATTTACGGGCAATCATCCAAAATGGTCACATAATTTTAATGTTTGTACAAAATGATCATTTAACTTTTGTTTTGGTTAAAAGAATGATAACATGATTTTCTTAATTCCAATCCATAATATCGTGGACTCTACCACTAAATAGGCCATATAAATCATCCAAAAATCATAAAATATACTAAAATTCATCTCCGCATATAAAGTGACAGATCAACAAGCAATTCTTACTTCCAATGAGTTGGGGTTTTATTTCGGGTAAATTCCCAAAATATTGTTTTTTTATTTATTTACTACCATTATGGTGGTTTTAAATTAATTGACATAGATATTGTGTTTTTGTAGGGGAAGAGTTGTGGGGTCGCGCGAGACTCAAATTTAGACGTCACAAATATGGATCCAAAGAGAACAAATGCGGACCCGCGCCAGACTAATGAGGATGCACACAAAAAGCCAACCCGCGTCAGTCCTGTGCGTTCTCGCACATCTCTCTTTCTTATCTCTTTATCTTCTTCGCCCCACCCTCCCCGCCCGTAGCGACGCACACCCACACCACAAAACCTCTCCAACCCCCCCAGCGCCGACTAACGCCGACCGCCTTTCACCACCACCCACGTCGATTACCACTACTTCCTCTTATACCACCTCCTGCACGTCTACCACTTCCTCTTCGCTGGTTCCCACTGCCACTTGCTCCTCCATCAGAAGTGGATGCATCATGTCCACCTACTTCCTCTCTTGGCCAATCCATCTCGTTGTGAATTCTTGTTGTTTGTGGCCTTCCCGACTTCCTAATCATGTGCACGTTAGGATGGAGAGTAGAGCCATTGTGATTCTTCCACCCCTTAGGTTCATCAAGAGGTGTGAAACTTGTCCCATAACAAGCCAATACTGTTTCCAGCTTATAGATGTCATTTACAAACCTATACGGGTTAACCCCCATTCGGTTGCAAGCTGCAATGACATGAGAGCAAGGAATTTTATTTCCTTGGAATTTGCCACAAGTGCAAAATCCCGATCGATTTTGGTCATCAAAATTCACTGTGAGTGTGTTTGAACCCATCATGTTGAAATTGTTGGGAGGAGTCTGAACTACATAGATGCCCTGACGTCGATCAACCCCCGTCACGGAATGTCCAACTGCCTTTTGTGTCCACGGCTTCATAAGATCTTCACATGGGTTTCTGTACTGTGACTTCCCACTTCTGATTTGTGCTTCTGTCTCCAACCTCATCTTATCGAATTTCTCTAATCTCCAATAAGTATGTTACGCAAGAGAAACTATAGGAAGTGAACGAATACCTTTAAAAACACCATCAATGCTCTCTGCCATGTTGGTCGTCAGCATAAACCATCGACGCCCACCAATATAGTTATTATGTGCTAAGCTCCAACGAAGTTGATTTTGATCCACCCAGTTATCATAAGAAATATTTCTTTCAGCGCCCATCTTCTTAAATTTCTCAACTTGATGATCGAACTTCTCTAAGCGTTTTTCTCGGGCTAACAAAATAAATAACCACAAGAGTTAGATAAATTCATGATAATATTAAATTAAATAAATAATACGTCAAAAATCAAACCAATAACGATGAAGAGACTTACCGACTCGAACCAGTTGGTTATACATAATTTTGCTTTTTGTCTTCTTTTGCAAGTTGCTTGCATAGTGTCGCATGCACCATCTCCACTCCCGTCCTCTTCCAATGTTACTCATGGCTTCATAGAGTCCAACATGTCTATCTGAGATTATGCAGACATCGTTTCGATTGGTCAAATCTTGAACGCGTCTTATGAACCATGACCCAACTATTAGTATTCTCACTCTCCACTATGGCACATGCAATTGGAAAAATCTTCTTCCCGCCATCAAATGAGCTCTCCATGAGTAGCACTCCTTTATACTTTCCAGTAAGAAATGTTCCATCAACAACCATGACTCATGGACAATTCTTTAATCCATCTATACAAGGTCCATAAGCCCAGAATACTTGCTGGAAGATCAAATGAACTGGTTGCGATGAAGGAACTTTTACCCAATCAATCACTGATGTTGGCATTTTTCTCTTCACAACCCTCAAGAATGTTTGCAAATAATCGTAAGATTCTTCCCAATTTCCATGCAACTTTTCCAATGCTCTTTGTTTCCCATACCAAGCCTTCTTATAAGTAACTTGCATATTAAATTTATCTTTCAACTCGGCTTGCACAGTTAGAACACTAAGATTTGGTTGGGCACGTACCAAATGTTTCATGGACTCAGATATAACGTCGACATCAAGATGGCAATGATCTATTGGTTGAGTCGTAATGCTACAAAAATGCACCAACTCGGCCTTTCTCACAGTCCATTCGCTTCTAACGTCTCGACATCCAAACTGCACCATCCAAGGACAATTGTCATCCTTATACTTCAAGATTCTAACCTTCCATATTGAAGGTGACGACTCCACCACTCCATACTAAAAGTTGCGTTGTAGTACGTGGTGTTTAACCGCCACATGTGTAGCTTGTTTCGAGTGAAATATCTGGCCCTTGTAGAATTCTCCTTCAAAACCAGTAGCAATAGGCATTGGAATTACGCCATATGAATCAACATATGATAATTCATCATCCTCTTCATTAGCTGCAAGTAAAAATATGGAGGATAATTAGGCTACCCCTCTTCCTCCTCCTCCTCCTCCTCGTCGTCGTCATAATCATTATCAGATGGCATACTCCATGTCTCATCTTCACCCTGATAATTTGTGCCATAAAATTGAAAAGCACATTCAAACCATCATCATCCATAATAGGCATCTCATAATGAAATAGAACACCATTCTGCCATTCTCGAAGACGGTAAGTGAAACATGTGATCATATCACTATATTGTACTGTTTCGTCTCTACGTCGTATTCTCGGGATTAGATTCTCGCAAAATTGATGATATGTCACCTGACATGGAACTGTCAACTGAAACCTTCTACCACCAGCGAAATGGATGCCCAAATTGTCCTCTACTTTCTCCGATTTCCACCAAACAATTAGTTCAAATCTCCTAAAATCACTACATAACAAACAAATTCACTAATTACTAACTAAAGAAAATTATAATAGCATTTTAATAATATAATTACAAAAATAAATGTGTCTCTTACCTAGTCATCTTTGCAGCAACCAACAGAGCTCCTCCCTGTCGTTTTCGTATAAGTTTTTGGTGTCATGATACTGAAAGAAAGAGAATGGAGGAAGATATATATATGCTGGAGTGAGGTAAAAAAGACCGTGAATCCGCATGAGACTAATGTGGGTCCGCAGGTCAAAGTTCAGGGAATTTGTCAGCGCACTTTAAAAGAAACCCAGCGTCTTCGCACCAGTCCCACGCGGGTCCGCCCTTTTTACGTCAAAATACAAATGATGCGGGTCCGCATTAGTCAGACGCGGAATGCATGTCTTCCCCACAAAAACAAAATATTTGTGTCAATTAATTTAAAACCACCATATTGGTGGTAAATAAAAAAACAGTATTTTAGGAATTTACCCTTTTATTTCCCAGTCCTGTGTGGATCTCTTATGAGTCTAGTTAGCTGAGTGTTTGGGTAGCATTTAGGGGTGGCTATACGGTCGGCCCGGTTAAATTGGACCAAATTGATCCGGTCCCAGTCCAGTCTTTTTGGGAATATAAGGACCAAAGATTAGATTGGATACAATCTAGTCTTGATGCGATCCGGTCCCAATTTGATCTTGATTTTAGATTGAGCTTGTGGGGATTTGAGTGTTGGGGTGTCTTATCCGGTTTTTTACCTCAAATATAAGCCAGAATATGAGATTGAATTATTTGCTATCCGGTCCCAGTCCAGTTCCAATCCGAATTATACGGTCCGGTTTCAGGTAAAATCAAACAGTCCAGACCAAATAACCAGCCCTAGTAGCATTGATATTCTTTATTTATTGATTTGACACATCAAGCTAGATGGTTTTTTAATGGAGATGGATACAAAATGATAGTTTGCATGTTAAACTTTTCCAAATCCACAGTTAACATCTTAGATTTAAGGACTTGTTTTCGTCATTGGATTCTTGAACATGCAACTCATAATGAGCGAAAACACCAAAGAATAAAATCGAACTTAAAAGATCACTTGTATTATCAAAGTAACAGTTAGTGAACCAGATTGAGAATATGGAGGAGAAGGTGGCAGGTTTGCCTATTCCTACGGTGGTGTCCCAAGGTGTTAATGTTGAGTTAACTGCACCAGTTTCGCGGGAGGAGATTAGGTGCGTTGTGTTTGTGATTGGGGCTACACAAGCTCCAGGATCTGACGGTTTTACTGGTAAGTTTTACAGGAGTTACTGGGATATAATTGGAGCTGATGTCGTAGATGCGGTTCAGTCTTTTTTTGCTACTGGGCGGATGCTGAAAAGTTTTAATCATACTTGGCTCACGCCACTTCCTAAGGTGGACGTAGTAGAGAATATGAAACAAATTCGCCTGATTAGTCTATGCCAGTATAAAATCATTTCAAAAATCATGGCGGAACGGATGGCATCTCATTTGCCCCATTTGATCTCACCGGATCAAAATGGGTTCGTTCGAGAACGTCAGATCGTAGACAATGTTCTTATTGGGCATGGGATTATGCACTATCTTAAGATCAAGAAGCGAGGGAAAAAGGGTTATATGGCTCTCAAGGTGGATATGGAAAAGGCCTATGACAGAGTTGAATGACCCTTTTTGTTCGCGATTATGGCTAAGATGGGGTTTAGTAGTCAATGGATAGGTTGGATTCGGGAGTGTGTCTCCACTGCGTCATTTTCAGTTATGATGAATGGAGTGCCATCGGGTTATGTTCGATCATCGCGAGGATTGCGTCAAGGGGATCCACTCTCGCCGCTTTTGTTTGTTATATGTTCCGAGGGATTTGGGGCATTGATTCGACAGGCGGTTCAGGATGGGAGTTTAGCAGGGATAAAGGTTAGCCTCCATAGTCTGAGTGTGACTCATTATTTTTTTTTTTTTTTTTTGCAGATGACTCATATCTGTTTTTGCGTGGGTCAAGAGGTGAATGTGTCAAGTTAATGGAGGTTTTAGCTGAGTATCAACTGATGAGCGGTCAGAAGGTGAATTTAGCAAAGTCGGCAGTATGTTTCAGTGGTAATATTGGTGAAGCAGACGCTGCGGAGATGGCGCAGTTGCTTGGTGTTGGTGCAATAGGGGTTCATGACAAGTATTTGGGGTTACCTGCTTTAGTGCATCGCTCCAAGACTGAAACATTCAGATATTTGGAGACTAAGTTGTTGGAGAAGCTACAAGGATGGAAACAGAAGCATTTATCTTCGGCGGCAAAGGAGGTGTTGCTCAAAGCGGTAGCATCGGCATTGCCCATTCATGTTATGTCTTGCTTCCTATTACCACTGACGTTATGCCGAAAGCTAGATAAGCACATGGCCCGTTTTTGGTGGGGTTACACGACTTAGGGCAATAAATCGCATTGGGTGTCTTGGAGAAATTTATGCAGGAGTAAATTTGATGGTGGCCTTGGTTTTAGGCGGTTTGAGGATTTTAATCAGGCCTTGCTGGCCAAAGTCGCGTGGTGAATTTGGACGGAGCCTGAGTCTCTCCTTGCGCGGGTACTAAAAGGTAAATATTTCCCTCACAGTAAGTTGCTGGCTGCTCAACCCCGATCTCGGCCCTCTTGGGGGTGGGTAGGTATTCTCCATGGGCGTGATTTGTTACTCCAAGGCTTAGTTTGGCAGCTAGGGAGTGGTGAGGATGTGAGGATTTTAAATCATGGTTGGATGTCGGGGCGCCAGTGTACAAATGATTGGCTTCTTCCTGGGGCACCGAATTTGATTGGGAAGAAGGTTGATGATCTGCTACAGGATGATGAGGCGGGGGTGGTGTAGGGATTGTTTGCAACAATGCTTTCCCTAGGAGGTTGTCAAGGACATTTGTTCCATTTCATTGCCGCGGCAGACGCTGCCTGATATGGGGTGAGGAGGAGTCGGGTGTTTACTCAGTCAAATCCGGGTATCATTTGAAGGTTCAGATCAATAGGGGTGGGAGAGGATGGAAAGATGAGGTCTCTTTCTTTGATATGGCATTCTGGAAGAAGGTTTGGGGTTTCCATATACCACCAAAGCTTAAGCTGTTTGCTTGGCAGGTGATGTGTCGGATATTGCCCACGATGGAAGCGATTATTGAGAAAGGTGAGAATTGTGAGTCGTAGTGTCTGGTGTGTGGGGCTGAGTTGGAAACCATGGAGCATATGTTCTTGGATTGTCGGGTAGCAGTGGCGTTGTGGGAGAGTTCGGGGTTAGTGTTACCTGCCTCGGAGGAGCGCCCAACAAACTTTGCTCTTTTCTTCAGACAGTTTCTTGAGAGGGATGACATCGTAGAGCGGGTTGTACGGTTTGTGGCATTATTATGGCATATATGGAAGTCACGGAACTGGTTAGTGTTTGACCACTTTCAGTATGCGATTCATGTTCTTGTTAGACAGTATGAGGAGCAGGTGCGTGAGTGGTTGAGTTTGCCGAGACCTTCGCCGCTGCAGCTAGCTGGGATGCTGAATCCGCCCGTGTCGGCTGGGGCATCTTTGTCGTTTAGGTGCTTGGTGGATGGGGCTGTTCTGCGTGGCTCACACGCTGCTGGTGGGATGGTTGTGTTGGATGTGATTAATAATATATTGTGTGCCAAAGGTTTTTTGTATGCAGGTTTGCAGGATCCATTCTTGGTGGAGTTGGTGGCGTTCTGGGATGCGATGCAGTGGTGCTCTCTGAGGGGTTTCACTGAGGTCTCATTCCAGGGTGATGCTAAGAACGTCATTGACAAGATTCACAAGGATGATTCACAAGATGCTCGTGGAGGACGCATTTTGGAGGAGATTCGTATGCTTCGACGTCAGTATCAAGCTATGGCGATTGAATTTATAGGCAGTGATAACAATCGGTGACCCATGAGGTGGCCAGGAAGGCCCTTTCTTTGTATCCTGCGAGTATTGAGAGTTTTGATTTTCGACATTGACTTTGGTTTGGTGTTTAGACTTTGATATCTATGTTTTCTTGGTAATACAAGTGAGCTATTGACAAAAAAAAAAAAGATACAGATCAGTCACATGATCGAAAACATCCAAAAACAAAAATCAAATTCAACTAAAGAGAGGAACAACACAAAGACAATCCTACATCAACCAACTATAAATAAAGTATCCCCTAATTCAACAATGTGACAACTTTCTTACATCATTGGATTCCCAAACATGCAGCTTATAATTGTTGGAAGGTGGTGATTAAAACATTTACAAGTTATCACCACAAATATAGCACACATATTCCCAAATTCAACAATGTAATGTTTTGACATTCTACTTGTCAAAAACCAAGTGACGAGATCCTAATTCTCTGCTTACCATTACTCACTTACTATGTCCATGGTTAGACTAATATGAAGTATAAATGCCCTGATTAGCTTCTTACCTCAGATTAGAACTTGAGTTATTGAGGAGTTTCACACTATTTACTAACACCCAAAAAAAGTCACTTTTATAGGCTTGAAGTTTGTAAAGCTCCGGACACCATGTACTTAAAATGCAGACGTGGTCATTAAGATTCGAACAAAAGATTTATCGATCACCGAAAACTCTAATACCATATCTAGAACCAAGTGGTCTCAATAACTCGAATCGTTAGAGGCTGAATTGTCGATCAATCATACACTAAACTATTTGATTATTTTATACAAAATGGGAAAACTATCTTACATTTTGATAGTTACCCTTTTATTTACCCAAGGCAATAGAGGCAGGGTCCTTTGGCTAGGACGGGGGATGCATGATTTGGCCATTTCCCCCCCTCTACCTCTCTCTCTTCGTCATTTATGCAAGAAAAAGGCCTATATATATGCACACTTCTGCAAGCCTCTGTCCATAGACTCAAAGCTACATAGCAACAACAACAGAGCAGCAGCCCATATCCCCACTTCCCAACCTCCCTTTCCCCTCCTTCTGTTGTTGTTTTCTGGGGAGGTGTGGGGCGTGCGGCTTTACCCCTCTTTCCTTCGTCTTACTTGCACACCTCTTCATTTATCTTCCCTCCATTCCCATTCTCCCTCTCACCTTTTGCAAAAAATTTCATCAATGGCGGTTCTCTTGGTGGCGTTTCTGGTTCTTCTGGTGCTCGTCCTCTGTTTATCCTCTGCTTTACTGTTGAGGTGGAATGAGGTCAGGTTCAGCAAGAAGAAGGGCTTGCCCCCTGGCACCATGGGATGGCCCATTTTTGGAGAAACCACTGAGTTCCTCAAACAAGGCCCTAACTTCATGAAGAACCAACGAGCAAGGTCCTTAAAATCTTCATCCTTCTCCGTTTCAGCTTGTTTTGGTCTTTTTTTCTGTTGCCGCCATGTTTCCAAGCTCCTATTTGCTTAGATTGGGAAACAGGGGAGACGCCAAAATCGCTTGTCAAGTTATTTCCTTTTGTTTGTTTCAGTTGTCAATTAGTTAAAAAAATTTGCAACAGTGACTTACAAGCTTATAAAAAATGGTTTCTTACCCTTTTCCTCCCTTTATTGTTATCTGTCATAATGGGTGGTAACAGATTAGTGCTAATATTGGTTGTAATGCTAGTAATCTAGCATTTTCTCTGTTTTGTTTTCTTTCGTTTTCTGTATAAAGTATGTTAAAGTAGGCATTTTGAGAACATGGGTTCTGATTTGGGTTGGGGGTGTGCTGTTGTAACAGGTATGGGAGTTTTTTCAAGTCCCACATACTCGGCTGCCCGACAGTGGTATCAATGGATCCAGATGTGAACAGGTACATACTGATGAATGAAGGGAAAGGGTTGGTTCCAGGCTACCCACAGTCGATGCTTGACATCTTGGGGAAATGCAACATTGCAGCGGTTCATGGCTCCACCCACAAGTACATGAGGGGCGCTCTACTTTCCCTAATAAGTCCCACCAGGATCAGGCACCACTTGCTGCCGACAATTGACCATTTCATAAGAACCCATCTCTCCAATTGGGATTCACAAATCATTGACATTCAGCTGAAAACCAAGGAGATGGCATTGCTCTCCTCACTTAAGCAGATAGCTGGGCCCGAATCTGGCTCGATCTCGGGGGCATTCATGCCTGAGTTTTTCAAGCTTGTTTTGGGCACGTTGTCGCTCCCGATCGACCTTCCTGGAACCAGCTATCGACGAGGGTTCCAGGCTAGGAAGAGCATAGTGAGCATTCTAAGGCAGCTGATAGTGAAAAGGAGGGAATCCAATGAATCCCATTTGGACATGCTGGGTTACTTGATGAACACTGAAGAGAGCAATAGGTACAAGTTGAATGATGACGAGATTATCGATCAGGTTATCACGATCTTGTACTCGGGGTATGAAACTGTCTCGACTACTTCGATGATGGCTATCAAGTATCTCCATGATCATCCTAAAGTTCTTCAGCAACTTAGAGTAAGTCCCCTCAAAAGAATCACTTAAAAGAAAAGAGATCAACTCAGTTACATTTATTTTTTACTTATGGATTTTGGTTATTCAAGTTATTATTTATATATGCAGGAAGAGCATCTAGCAATTAGAGCTAGGAAGAAGCCTGAGGATCCACTTGACATGGATGACCTTAAGTCGATGCGTTTTACCCGGGCGGTAAGAGAAGCTTCTGATTCCAACATCTTTCACAAAGTATGAGATTCAAGCTGTTGAGAAATGATGTGCTGAGCCATATGTTACTCTGTCATCTACTTTTTTCCAGGTGATATATGAGACATCAAGGTTGGCTACCATAGTTAATGGGGTATTAAGGAAGACAACTCAAGAAATGGAAATAAATGGTGAGCTACTACTATTCAAGTGTAATGTCAACTCTAGATTCTATTTGCTTTTTTGGTGTATGGAGGGGCTCAAGAAGGGAGAAGGGGGCTGATTTTGGAGATAAAGTTAAACAGCTAATTATACAACTGTGCTAAAGAGAAAGAGGGGAAAAAGAAAGAACCAAAAAGATAACTGCTCATGGGAGAAATCAAGATCAACATCTCTTTTTCCATGGTGGACCTTAGTTGCCCTATTATGATTTGAATAGCACACCTACTGATCCAGCTAGGACATTCTATTGGTGCCCCCTCGCCTCACAAACTATTGGTTAAAATTACTTGGAAAAGGGGGCATCTTAAAACAAGTGAAAGAATCTCAAGTTTAAGATGATTAGATCATTCTTCACTCCCTTTTGTCCCCTCCTTTTTCCTTTCTCTTGTGCATTATTGGCCTTTTTGCTTGTAACTCAGAGAAACTACAAGCCATTCAGTAGTGGGTCATAACTTGGTTAATAGTGGGAGTGGGGAAGGCCTACTCTCTTCTTCTCATTATTGAATTGCCAACTCTCTTCTTCTCTACATGTTACTGGTTTCTCATCTCTTTTATATGTTACCTTTGCTCCATCAGGATTTGTGATCCCAAAAGGTTGGAGAATATATGTCTACACAAGAGAGATGAACTATGATCCATGCCTATATCCTGACCCATTTTCCTTCAACCCATCGAGATGGCTGGTATGCTTGCAAAACCAGTAAAGATTTGATCTTTCTTATTGTCTCTCAAAAGGGTTCTTTTCATTTGCTGATGATCTTTTTATATTTGGTTAATTTGGCAGGATAAGAGTTTGGAATCTCAGAACTATCTCTTCATATTTGGAGGGGGTACAAGGCAGTGCCCAGGGAAGGAACTAGGCATAGCAGAAATCTCAACATTTCTACACTACTTTGTGACAAGATACAGGTAATGAGAAAAGTGAAGACCCATATCATGTCATAGACACCTTGAATATATATTCTCTCCAAAAAGAAGCCCTCTTTTGCTTACTTGAGGGTTTTCCAAACTTTTTGCAGGTGGGAAGAAGTTGGAGGGGACACACTAATGAAGTTTCCAAGAGTTGAAGCCCCAAATGGGCTGCATGTTAGAGTTTCTCATCTAAACTAATCAAAACCTAACCCTTTCCACGTGTATATAAGAGATGAGAGAGAGCTAATATAGCAGAGAAAGAAGGAGAAGGAAGGAGGTTGTACATTATCATGTCCTAACCAAGTTAGAAAGTACAATGGAAATGCAGAATTTCCGTTTTTTTGGATCTACAAATTGGAACTGATGGAAACTTGTTCTTGGCCCTACATTATTTTTTTTCCAATCTCAATGTTGCCTTCGAATTACCTTGGTTATGTTTGGTTAATTGAGAGCGACCAATGAGGGAGTAACCTGATGAGTGATTGTTTTCTCTTTGTTTCCCGAGTCTATAGTGAGTTACAGACGGACAGTTCAAAAAAGCCAAATTAGTGAATCAACCATGATCAAACATTTAACCCCCCATCCATGGAAATCGAACTTAGTGAACAATTGTTTGATTACTTTGTATGATCATTCATAACAAGAGTTTAGCTACTTTTGATGATTAAAAAACATGATGAGTGCTTCAATGACCACTCCAATCTGGCTAGGGCCCTCCATAACATGGGCAGGTGATACGGTACTAAGTACCATTCATGAACACAGTTCTGCTATCAGTCCATTATGCGCAGATCCACGGCATATTTTTTTGACAACTTCGGGGACGTTTGGAAGTTGCGATTGTTAAATAGATGTATTGTTGAGAATGCATGTATAATATTATACATATATTGTCGAATTTGATGCATTATAGAATACAGCGTTTGGTATGTGTGATTGTGTATGTCGCATCAGCTAAAAGCTGAGACAAAACAATCTCAACTCAACTATCTCAACAATCACAACTAAAAGTTGAGATATAACAATCACTCAAAATGAGTGATAGTTTCTGTCACATCACAGAAACAATCCATGTATTGTTTCTGCTAAAAAAAGAAAAAAACGATGCATTGTAAACAATACATGCATAATGACAATTTCAACAAAACAATCGCAACTCCCAAATGACCCCTTCGTTTTTGCTTTTTCTTCATTGTGAATACTTTTATGCATTGTTACAGCCAGGGTCAAATTGGATGATCATTGTGAAGCGAATGTGTTGGGTTAGGGTCTCGTTGTTGTGGGCTATAAATCTCCATGTCCAACCAAAAATGGATTATCAGTTATCACTAGGCCGATGAGCCTTCGCAAATAATTGGGCTCAATGGTTGAGACCCACTTTAAAATTGACGAGCTGCTGGCTGAAGCGAAGATCCATTCTAGTTCCAAGCACGGCTGATTTGGCTCCGGAGAGATCAGTGGTTCGTCACCAATCCTCTTCTCCTGCTCAGATTTAGAGCTGGTTATTTGCTCCGGATTTTCCAGTTTAACCCGAACCCGAATCGTAAAAAGCGGGACCGTTTGAGATCGGGACCGAATACAAAACAGTCCAATCCCATCTTTGATCCTGGAAATAGTTAAAAATCTGGACTCAATCCAATCCGGGTTAAAACGGGACAAGACCCTAAGACCGGATAAAGGTCTCAAAGTCAGCCCACTGGCCTGCCCAGTGCCCAAACCCGGCGGCCCTCTTCACTTTGTCACCAAGCTAAATTGTTAATAATTAGAAGCCCAAGCCCAAATGGATTCCGCGGGCGGTGAATGATTTTCGTGTGCAGTGAAAGGTTTAGCTTGTTTTTTTTTCCCTTAAAAATCAAAGGATGGATACAACTTTACAAGTAGCATTGCCATTTTTGCCACAATATCCATTCCTTGTTTTATTTATATATACATGGAAACTTGTCCTATTTAGATTGGAGTGGAGTTGGTGTTTAATATCTAAACTTTGGTTGTGATGAACTTATTTTTATTAAGCTATTTAGATTTTGAACTTTGAAATGTCCTTCCATACTTCACAAGCAGCAGCCAGTTCAGGACTCCATTTGCTAGCCTCACGAGAAGTGGACTTTGGGTTATAATAGACAGTTTGTCGTTAATTCAGTATCGGACAATGTTTGGCTTGTGTTTTTTTCTACAAATTAAACTTAAATAGGTTGTCTGTATTCCGAAAAAAGTGGGTAAATGCTGCTAAATTTTCTGTCATGGATCAATTTGGGTCAAAATCGGATTGGACTGGGACCGGATAAGACCGGACCGGGTCAAAACTAGACTGTGCCCAATTCAATCTTAGGTCCTCATATTTCCAAAAAGACCAGACCAGGACCGGATCAATTCGGACCCATTTAACTGGACCGGACCGTATAGCCACCACTACTCAGATCCACTATCGGGTTTCCTTTGGTCCTGCTAATAACAGAGTAGCTTATTTGATGACCCGTCATGTCTGTTCTTGTCGCTTTGATCGTTATCGAGCTTCGACTTTATTTTTTGATTTTGTAGTTTATAGTGGTTCTGTCTTTTGTAATATGGAATTTTTTTCAATCCTCTTTTAAGAAAGATTGTAATGGCAAAAAAATAATAATAATTCCAATCACGGCTGGAACACCTCAAGATGTTTGGATATCAACAATCCCCACCAAGATTTGTGCCTTTGTGTGGTTGATATATCTTAGTAACACCGCCATAATTTACAATTTGTGAGGTGCGACTTTCAACTGCCAAATAGTTTCTTTTTTGTTGTGTCGGGAAGGAATCCATCGGGAAAAAATCCCAAAGTACACACGTTCTTAAAAAAAATTCTCAAAATACATGAGTTATAAAAAAAATTCCCAAAGTACACATGTTTGAGCATCACCGCGTTTGACAAACACGGTGAAGATCATCACCGCGTTTGACAAACACGGTGAATACTTCATCGTTTTAAACAAAAACGGTGAAGTATTCACCGTTTCACACCAAAACGGTGAAGCTTTCACCGCGTTAATTAACAACGGTGAAAGCTTCACCGTTTTTGACCAAAACGGTGAAGCCTTCACCGTTGTTAACTAACGCGGTGATCATTTCCCACGTTTCCCACCCCTGGTAGGTCAAAATTAGGTCGCAGCTACCACCTATTCACCGTTTGAGACAAACGCGGTGATAGTGTTCACCGTTTTTGACAAAAACGGTGAATAGTAGGCAGATTTTCCTATAAATACCACACCACCAGCAGTTGTAAAAACATAACCACTCCCCTTTCTTCAAATTTCAGCAGCCAAAATCGAGCATAATACACAGAACAGAAATTTTTCGGTATGTTGAGACTTTTCGTATTATGGTCTAATTATGTTTTTAGTAGTTATAGTATGATTTAATTTTCGTATTATGATTTAATTTTCGTATTATGTTGTTGTTAGTTAGTTGAACTTATATTCGTTAGTTATAGTATGATTTAATTTTCGTATTATGTTGTTGTTTGTTAGTTGAATTTATTTTCGTTAGTTATGGTATGATTTAATTTTCGTATTATGTTGTTGTTAGTTAGTTGAACTTATGTTCGTTAGTTATAGTATGATTTAATTTTCGTATTATGTTGTTGTTAGTTAGTTGAATTTATTTTTGTTACTTATGGTATGATTTAATATTAGTTGTACAATATGATTTTGGTTAATTTTACTGTCTTTAAGCTAATAGATACTTATTGTAAATTGTAGATATGGGTAAATTCAAGAAGTTTCATCTTACTATTCGGTGGAATGGAAGGGTGACAAACTCTGACATAGGCATTGATTATGAGGACGGCGAATCCATTATGCTGAAAATTGAATCCCGATTCAATTTTCAAGAACTCTATGATCTTTGTGCAGAAAGGGTTTGTACGAGCGGACAGACGAGACTTGGCAAAATTACTTACCGGTATCCAGACATGAGTGCTGGCGGGGTCGTGTTCCAAGAAGTTGTCATAAACGATGATGACGCGGTTATGATGATGTTACAGTTCCTAAGCGATAACCAAGTCCGGCTTGCAGAGGTGTATGTTGAGACCGAGGCGCTCGGTGAATCTCATTCTCACCAGTATTCTTATGATGATGGTTTTGCAGGAGGGTACGAATGGGGTGGTAGTTCGAGCAACTACCAAGGCGGTGGTTATACAGGAGGTTACGGGGAGGGTGGTGGTTCAATCAACTACGGTGGATCGAGTAGTGCAGGATGGGACCAATACTCGCAACCTCCTAAACCAGCCCCATTTGTTGAGGCCGATGGTGTTCAATGGCCTGCTTGGGGGCCAGAGTGGTATGGAATCGAGAATACCATTCGATCAGGGCGTACTTCACATGAGCGAGAGGACGATGTTGGTGATCGTGGTCATGTTGATCCTTCTAGCTCGAGCTATCCATTCGAGTCAAGCGACGAGGATACTGAGGAAGATTTGATATCAGTGAGCGAGGAGGAGGAAGATACTGATGATAACGAGGATGAGGCGGCATTTCGTGAGGCACCCACGCCATATTACACACAGGTTCCAACTCAATTTTTACATAGTCAGAATGATCCCCCCGACTTTGTCCCTATGCCAGTGTACAATCCAACGGCCAATCTGGAGGTGGGTATGGCGTTCACATCGAAAGACGCTGTGCAGGATGCATTTACAGAAGAGGCGTTGAGGCGCAATTTCGAGTGGAAGGTAAAATATTCTGACAGTAAACAATTACATGTCATATGCAAGCATGATGCAGAGGGTTGTACGTGGCAACTGCGGGCTGCAAATATGAAGAGAAAGGGTGCTTGGGTGATTCGCAAAGCTGAGACGATCCACACATGCTCCTCTTCTATACTTTCCCAAGATCACAGGCAACTAAAAGCAAAGAAGGTTGGGAGAACTATTAAGCACCTTATAGAAGCACAACCAGATATCAAGGTGAAAGCTATCATGGAAGAGGTGAAGGATCGACATTCTTACACGATAAGGTACAAAAAAGCATGGCATGGTAAGCAGAAAGCCATGGCTGAGGTGTATGGTGATTGGGAGGATTCGTATGCTTTACTCCCTAGACTTATGGGAGCAATGGAGGAGTCCAATCCTGGGACTGTTTTCGTCCCAGTATACAACAATGTATACACTGAGGATCAAGTTCGAGTACAGGATAAGCTGATGTTCCATCGTCTTTTTTGGGCTTTTA